AAGGAATTGTACGATTTTATTAAGTAAAAAATCTTATATACTGTACTAACCTCCATATTAAAGTGAATAAAACATTAGAGACTTATTCTCCGTCCATTTTAGGCATCTCCTGGCTCATATTTCGCCACCCTTGTGGATATGATGACATCGTGGGGATATAAAAGTGGCAAAACTCTACAGGGTGCGCCGTACGATTGGCGCCGGGCACCAAGTTAGAGACGGTTTAGTTTTTTTCTCATCATGTATAACAAGTCACCTACAGTAGCGCGAAATATGATAGTTGATGCCCAAAGCTCGACTATTGTTAAGTTCTAAGTTTTTCACTTCTAGATGAACTCTATCTTTACTTCGATGCTTTGAAAGTCTCTATAGAGACTACCTATCGCTATCACAACCATAAAAAAGTGGTAACTGTAGCTCATAGCATGGGCAATCCTGTAATGCTCTACTTCTACAATCATATCGTTGATCAGGTGAGTGGTCTGTCTTTTTAACCGTAAAAACTATAAATTACGTTTTAGGAATGGAAAGACAAGTACATCGAATCGCATGTGTCTATTGCAGCTCCATGGGGTGGAGCTATGCAAATCGTTCGAGTTTTTGCTTCAGGATACAATATGAATTACTATAGGGTGATCTTACCACCAAGCAAATTAAGAGGCATGCAAAGGTGGGTGATTAATAGCTTCAATGTCATTTAGTGCATCAAAACAATAGGTGCATCTAGGTCTTTTACTTCATCAGCGTTTCTGTTTCCAAGTTATGCTGTTTGGAATTCTAGCGAAGTTTTGGCCAGTACAGATGCAAAGAATTACACGGTAAGAGACTATCTTTCCTTTCGGAACGCAACAATTTTGGAATTGAGCAAAGAGCCCACTGCTAACGGCAAGTAGAGCATCAGAGATAACTGGAAGGCCTGCTTAGAGCGTCTTTACCTTCTAAAGATGTATTGTGTCAGGAAGGTAGCCCCTAGCCCTAACACACTAAATACATTTTACACCTATACATTTACCCCTATTCAGGCAGTGGCAAGGCTCATTCGTGCTTGTTATATAAGGGATTTGCAACAATTTAGGTTTTTTGTGTGTTTATAGATCCACAAGATTATATTGCATCTATTCTTGTTGGCACTTTTCCTTTCTGGATCTCTTGGTAACACTTTGCAAACTTCCGCAGCAACTAAGCAACAAGATAATTTGACCTAACGAAAGTGTGGAAGCCGATCAGAAAGGTGAAGGGCAAATCTACGACATATACACAGATATTCGAGTAAATTCTTACAATTGCAATTTTTGACTAACAACAGTTTTCCCCTTTCTCACCCATAACAATATTTCCCAGCGTTTGGCAAAATTATGATTGTTGTTCCCTCTTTTGCCAGATTTAGACCTTATAAATAATTACGAACATTATTACCAATAAATGCTTTTTTCAGGCATTCTGACAAAATTTCTTCTCTTAAGAATGTCTTTGATTACGGTCTAATTGGTGCGTGACACTACCGACTTAGTAACTAATACAGATGCAAGCAGAAATCCTTAACAAAATCGCCACCCTGTTTAAGTATAGTCTTCATAGCTATTGGCTCATATTTCTTAGCATCCTCATTTGAAACTTGGTGGAAGAATATATACAAGGATTCTTGCCGACACAATAAAAAATTTAGAACGAAGACGAACCCTTAAAGCTGTGCTAAAAAATTGCTATCACCGTGCAGAACAAATCATTTATAGCATTACATAGTCGAGTTTCCTGGGGTTGTGCTCAGAAATTCATCTGTCTTAGGTTGACTAATTCATTATATATACCAGCACTGCACTTAGAGCTGCTTCGTGACTGAAATTTTGTTAGATTTGTGAGAAGTCCAACTTTAAGTACTGAAACAACGTTAAAGTTCTAAGAAGCGCTTGAAACATGTTACATTCACTAAGAAGTCTAAAAATGCTACGCAGATGCTGTTACATTGGAAGAAAAAGCTGAGAATCGTTGGGTCAAAAACTATAAATAAGGGAAATGTTTTGCATAATTCTTGCGATAAACATATGATTTTCACTCTGGTGGGCTTTCAGTACTGAAGTCATTTTGACGTCTGTGCTTCTGTAAAAGCTTGCAAGGGATTGCTAGACAAAGAGATGCCGGTGATAAGAGCAAGGTAAAGTTTTTTAGAACGTTTCATGGTAAATGGGCCTAGGTAGTGAGACAGGCAAAGTTAATTTCTTTTGAAAGATCCTTTTGTCACAGTATGGATGGACTATAGCGTGAAATCTCATAAACCACCTTTAAAAATTTATTCAAAAACATGATGAGTTTGATGCATACTGATGACTTGTTTCTATACTTTACCACCTGCTTTACCATTGCTCAAAAAAGCTTACCATCATATTTATTCTTAATAGAGTACAATTCTTCGTAAAAAGTTCTATTTTATGCGACACTTCCTATATATTTCACACAACATATAACATAACACTTTTCTATAAAATCATCGTCCAGTAAAATATAGGATGCGAAGTTACATATATTTCTTGCAAAGATTCCTTCGAACAAACCTCGGCGCCAGGTCTCTGGAGAACAAGCTGGAATTCGTTCTTGTGAAAAAAGCAAAGGTGATATCGTATGGGGTCCGAAGAGGAGCCTGCAGTTCGATCTCAATTATGACCGTATTTTCCACTTTCAAGAATGTTGAACTTCCCCCTCCCCCCTCCTTTTTTCTGGGCAGATCATGCAGCGGGCTGAGTATTTCCATCTTATTCAATACTTAATTCAGAGCAATTCCACACACACTTTTAGACCGTTCAAAAACTTGCTCCAGCAAAGGTTCAATGTTCGTTTCAATGCGGGCGTTTGCGCGGGAAATCTAAAAGAGTATCAAAAAATTTAGATGAACCCGTTTTTCTAGGCGAATAGGTAATGAAAAACCACCAATGTTG